TAGTTGCAACATATGTTATAACATTATATATTGCAACATATTAATTATGGTTACCATCTTTACATTAGACTAATAAACAAAAAAATAGCGGTTAAAGTTAAAAAAGGCATGACTTCTAAAAAGTTGAATAATGATAAACTGGACATGATTAGGCGTAGTAATTTTATTAAAAAATCTTATTGGTAGATCAAGTTTTTTTAGATATTAATGATTGATTTTTTTTTAAAATGCAATCTCTTGCGTAAATACACTAGAAAAAAGATTTATTTTATACTATATGCTTACTACGCGTAAAAAGAAAATTTAACCCGATTTAATAAAAATTATGTTGCTTTATTGTATGTATTTGTCATAACTACATTTTTCATAATTACGTTATTTGTAGATGCCTGATTGTTAAAATAACAATACATGACGTGTTAACAGTATGAAATTAGTATTATAAATACTAATAAAGTATTAAAGAATTTGCTGCTTATTGCTAAGATTATTTGTTGATCTGCGGGAGATAGTTTACCTCGCTAGTATTTTTTTTTTGAATTAATGACTGGAGGAAGAAAAAGGTGGTCCCTATTCATACTCCATACAAATCTACTAATACCTGTAAATGAAAAATTTGTTTTATTATATAGAATATGATCAGAGGCATCCCTTATATTTTATAGGATAAAGATCTATAAAGCAAGTAGATTAAGAGGTGCAATTTTCCATTCTTATCTCATTCTAATAACAGAGACATTGTGTGATACCAATTCAAAGATTCGTAATATATGTATATGCCAGAACCTTCTAGAAAAAAAGTCAAACATCATCATCAAATTAATTATTTATTAATCTAGACCTATGATCTACTTCCCCAAAGATTTGCAAAAATATGACAGTATTTCATTGTTACAAAAATAGCATATATTTACTATTATTACAAAAATAGCACATCTAAATCTAAAAATAGGAGTACTATGAAAACATATAAATTTTTCATTCAGGTGATCATGTTCCTATTCACTACAGAGAAGTATATAATGTACTTATTACGCATGATATATTCTCAGCTAAGCCACTAACATAATTCAAAAAAAAGAAACGAAGTTTTCTGTTCTTCCTCTATACTACGATTGTGAATTTGAATTTATTACTTGAAGTGAAACAAGTAAGACAATATTCTGTTCCATTCCATTCGCCATGTAATCATAATTCTCATGTATTTTATCGCAAATAGAACATGGTGAGCTCTACAGCTAAGGTGATGCAAAATTATAATTATCAATTCCTCTGAAAATATTTCAGAATTTCAGATATGTAAAATGCTTTAAGACAGATTTGATAATTAATTCTAGATCAGGTTTGACATCAAAAGTGATAGGCCCTTTTTCTTCACATTGCTCAGAAAAAGATAAATATGATACTTTGTTCTCTAGCTTCAAATTTATGAGAAGATGGGTTTTTGGTAATAACCATAGCTCATTTTCAGTTTCTTTCTTATATGTTTTATATAATTTAAAGCGAATTTTATCTGACAAAACATTTGGTAACCCACTTAATTTAGCATACCAATCTAGATATTTGGGGGTTAATACTTTGTCATATTGTCTTTTTATATGATTGCAAATTAATTTAATTTATAGTAAGTATAGTCGACGTAGATTAGCCTGTAAAAAAATAGTTTCTCAAAAGAAACGCAAATATACAGTATTGTAAAATAATGAGACTATATAGTTATCTCAATTTTATACTGTTTACACTTAATAAAATAGGATCTAATTTTATATCTATCTTCTATGCTTTTCTCATCATCATAACCTAACTTGCATAATAAGCATAATGTCTTATCAGTAATACCATAATAATCGAAGTCTTCACTACTATATTCTCTATATAAGTTAGGATATTGGTTCAGTGTCTTGTTGCAAAAATAGAATCAGTCATAAGTTAGCTTAGATTGACTGGAAGAAGATACAGATAATACATTTGCTGATATACTTATCTTAGCCTGAATCTGATCGTTTTCTGAGAGAACAGTTTTTTATTAAAATCATATAACTCTGATGATCACTAGTATATTTTTTTACTTGATTTATGACATTTTGGATTTGTGCATTAGTCAGTTTTGAAATCTCAGTTGCGTTATATGAAACTAGCTTAATTTTATCTAGTCCAATCCCATTTTTTCCAAATAACATAAGATGTTTTCTAGCCCTATGAGTTTTCTTGCGTAAGTTAGCTTGTGTAATTTTAGTAGGAAGAAATGGTTTCATTTCCTTGTAAATTGTTGATCTTGCCATTTTATTCTTAATTCTACCATCAGCCATAAGAGCATCAACCTTGCTTTCAAATTCAAAAGAATAATTGTACTAATCTAATATTTCCTGCTGACTGGATTTTATTGCTATTTCAAATAAATAAGATAAGTGCTAGGCAGAACCCGAAATTAAATTCTCTAGACTAACGCAAGAGCTGATAATTTTGATAGAGCTGACATTATCTTCAAATGATATGGATGAACATAATTCATGTATTAGGCCTTGTTCTACAATTTGATTTTCATCAAGCAATTCCTCTGAAATTATGTTATCGTCTTATTTCACAGATACTTCAGTTTTCGAAGTCATATGATTTTGATCATTTCCTGAGGGAACGGTTTTTATATTGTGAAAAATAAGTGAATCCTGAGCAATCGATTTACGATGAAGTTTCTCCTTCTGCTTTCTTTCTCTAATCTCATCACTAATCTTTTTCTTATGCATCTCATCCAAGAAATCATCCATTTCCTTATCTTTCAATGACTCAGTGTTGGCATTATTACCAGGTGCGTCACCAGAGGTAACTGCTCATCCTACTACATTATTTAGCTGGTCTATTACAGAATCGAATACTTGAATATTACCAAAAGATGCTTCGCTAATATTTGAATTCATTGTGTTAGTGTTCGAATCCATAGTATTATTGTTCTATCCATTTTTTGAAACCATTTCCTTAGAAATAACCGTTACCTCTGGCAACATCTCTGGTTGAGGGAATGTTTACTATTTGATTTCGTTGATATCATACCTTAATTTTGCTATCTCAGCTTTAAGCTTAATATTCTCAGATTCAAGTTTAATGGTAACTGCATTAGTCTTCTTTAGCTCCACGATTACGGCATTAAGTTTGCCAATCTTAACTGAATAATCTGCTATAGTCTTCTTCAGCTCATCGGTTCTGGCCTTAAGCTCTCATCTCAACTTCATTTTCTCAGCTTCAATCTCAGCAAACTTTAGTAACTTCTCTCTAAGTTTGGGAATTTCAGTATTCTCTTTTCTAAGCTCTGAAATCTCAGCCAAGAGTTTAGTATTTAGCTCTCTTAATGAATCCATTGTAATTTGAGCGGTTGACATTTTTTATACAAAATGGGAATAATTCAAAAGTTCATCAGTATAGATATAAACGAGGTAATATCCTCATCAGAATTACACTGTTAAATGTGGCTTTATTGATACAGAAAATAAATTACATGATTCGATAATACATAGACTTGTTTTTACAATGTGAAATGGTATCTATATTAATGCTTACAGACCACACCAGTGTTTCGTTCATCTAAGCTATCTATACTAGCACAATATCCTAACATTAACTCTAATCTGATTTCATTTGTCCTAAGATCGATATTCTGGATATAATAAAATGATCGTCAGTTATGCATAGAACATGCCGAGTCAAAATAAATTAACAATGTTGACCTTAGTAAAACTCAATGAAGGTTTATGTTCTCTGCCCAATAATGTCCTCGAAATTTCAAAATAAAAAAATAGATATTAGCTTTGCGAGCTCTGAGTCGCTTCCTTGTAAATGCACAATCATATATTTATATATTAATTGCGTAATGTTTCGCCTGGACTTGAAAAATTTCTCCTATAGAGTTACTGCGCTTTTATTTTTTTCTGATGTGTTGCATATAAAGAAGCCACAAGTCAAATTCAATTAATTGTATAACTGAAAAATTACGTAACATTAATTCACCTTTTTTTAATAAATACCCTGAGAATTCGTCGGAAAATCAAAATCTAATGAGTAATGATAAAACTGTATTAATTATTTTTCTCCGCGTATTGTAAATTTACTTTTTTTCTATGCTTATTATTTTTTTCATAGTACAAGCTACTGAATCAGAGTTATCAAAAGTCTATTTACTATTAGTCACGATGTATTCAGAAAAGTATATATATACCCTCTAGTTTTCTCAAACCTCTTTTTCTAGATCTCTTTCTTTAAAATATTTTATCATATTTTATCATTACAGAAACATAATTGAAATGGTTAACTCTTACAATTGTTTACGTCTAGATAATAAAGACGTTTTCCAGGTTGGAGTTTATGAAGACAATGACAAGCAGAAATTCTTCAAACTTGATAATGAAAAAATTTTATTTGAGAATTTAAGAGTTGGGCAACTTGCGAAAATTATCTTTTCACAAGAAAATTTTAAAGTTTCGAAGCTTTGAAAAGTTGACGTTGACAAAATTATACTTAATCCTGGTTCTACTGATAACATTAAAGGACTTGAAGGTGTATCTATGGAATTTGAATGCGACTTTATAGATTATTTTCAAGAGGATTATAAACCCACGAGAAAGAAAATCCACATTGTTGCTGTCGTCGCAACTATAACCACTGGTAAGTGTCTCCCAACATTTTCCCTCTTGAACAAGAAATTTGCAGTAACAAAATATCGAGTTTGGTCTGATCTTTTTTTTTTCATATCAAATGCTAATTTTGTACTTTCTCCCTCTTTCCTGCTTCGTATCGTCATCAAACACTGCCCAAAAAAATATATATTCACATTATCATAGGACCTAATGTAGGACCACCTTATAAGTCAGCCTTAGTAAATATTAGTTGATACCATAACGAACTGCTAACTTTTGCTTTTTAATGTTCAAAGGATCGCTTGAGAAGGTTTTGTTCATGATCTTGCAGGATATATATGCTGAAACATTCAAGAAACAAAAGAGGACCTGAATATGCCTTTAAAAGACTGGGATACTAAAGAAGCATTGTGTATATTTGAAAATAATATTCACCTTTGCGACAAAAATAATGTTCCCAAGTCAGATTTCAAATTTCTTGCCTGTAGTGAGGCTGCTGGAATAGGTACTTGCTCTGTTTATCTGTAACAATATATATTGATTTGTTTCATGTATCGTTAACACTAACTCTATGTTCATTATCAGGAAAAACCCGCTGGGAAGAGAATTTTCCAACGCTGTTGAACGTGATTGGACGCTATCAAAGGAGTGGACTAAAGATGGAGAACCACATATTTGCTATTTCCTTCTTGATTTTGTTAATGGTGTTCGCCTTGACATACCTGATCAAGGCTTTCAGCATCTATTATTCTTAGTCTTCATATTGCATATGAGTATTTCACACGTAAAACAATGTCATTTAAAGTCTTTTGACAACTAGCACGATCAATACCACAATCATCTCTCGATCTTTTTGAATTAAATTGGATTCTTAATCATATTCGAAACCTTCTAAAGCTCAAACCTCAACAACAGCTCATTGTAATCCTTCATATTGATGAGTATCAAGAAATTTTTGATTTTGAATGAGAAATTGGTAAAAAGGGGTTGTTCAAAGAACTTATGCTTGAACTTGAACCTTTGATGACATCAAGTCATGGTGGTTATTATGTTTAAACATTTCTATCAGGAATGGCATATCAAAAAGTTTTGAGGGGTGCATTACCAACTGGATATTCTTTTAAGTCCGTTAAGTGTCCCCTTTTAACATTAAAAGCTATCTTTGAAATTGTCGATCATTTTGCTGTTGAAGATAAACAATGACATTGGATAACCAGTTCCCAATTTCTACAACTTTTATATGATACTGGCAGACTTCTATGAGCATTGCAATATGTTCTCACTCAATTTCTTGTTAAACGACAAAATTTTTTTCTAAGACTGCAACACGAAAAAATTTGACTTTGATCACATATTTATCTCTATCATTGAGAAGATCAAGAATAAGTATAAACTTTCTAATTTTGTTCTTGAGAAACCTGAACTTAGTCATTAGATCTTATACCATTGTCTTGGTTTCATTCCATCAGCTCAATTCAGTTCTGGATAGGGGTTTTTCAGATTTGATAGTGGAAAGAATGGAGTGTAATGGATTTTTAATCCTAAAGAAATATGATGATCTTAATTATTTTATTGAAATGCTGTTTTACTTTATATACATATTTGACACAGTATTGTCTATTGTTCCTGAAAATATACGGAGAACATTCTATCCTGGTTCAAAAATGAAATGGAATTCTTGGGAGAATTTTGTAGGAGAGTATGAGGCATTTTGAAATAACATAATGATTAATTTAGGTAAAAAAGAAATTTCTCTGAAGGAATTATATCGCGGAGCAATTGGTAAAGATTCTATTCTGAACACCCAAATCAAGCTCAAAAAGCTTGACATATGTATGGCAAGAAGCCAGTTTCCAAAAACCTTTCCATTAAGGAATTCAGACAACAAAACAATTAAGAGTCTAAATGGCTTAGTTGTTATAAATGGCAAATCAGCCTACAGTCAACTTTTTCTACAACGAATTTTGATATAACGAATTTTACAATACAACGGATTTTCATTGTCAGACAGATT